AAGTAGGTGAACTCACTTCTGACCACTTTCAGTAATTCCCTGCACTTTCTATACTTTGGCTTCGGGCTCTGCGGGGTGGAATTCCATGATTCCAAGAGGGAAGCGCTTGTTTCGGGGCACACTGAAAGGGTCCCATTGAACTGTGTGTTACAACTGCTGTGTCAGCGTTTCTAGTTCTCTGTGACAAGTGATTAACAGCAAGAAGTGAAGTCATTATCCTGGCAGGGATAATTGGCTCTGCTCCTCAGAAGTTACATAGACAGAGTTCCACAGTGGAGGTGGAATCTGCCTCCCAGGAGGTCACTGCAGTGGGTTTTACTACTCTTGTTTCAATTTTGATGGTGGGCAGACAAGTGTAAGTTTGGCGGGGAGGCCCCCTTCCATATCTTTTCTGCCTGGCAACTTTCCTTGTTACTATGGAAGAAACACAGTTACTCATCCCAGGGGGAAGCCCCAAGTCTGGATTTTACCAATCACATCACTTGGGTGTCAATTAACATGCTCTTCTGTGTTCTTTTTCTCCTGTCAATGGACAATTGGAACATGCTTGATCAAATTCCCATTTTTCTTACCTTGTAGATAGAGATTGATTCCTCCATCAGGAGGCTCATGGGGGTGACTGTTCTGTGGGGTCAGAAGCCACCAATGATCACTGTCTCGATTCATTTAACTACTCAACATTGAAAGTGATGATTTTCTTAGTCTCCCACATAATTCTTTATCATTTAAGTCTTTTTTTTTAAATAAGGAGAACTTGTCCTGTGTACTGTTTAATTATCTGGTGGTATATTTTGAATGGGGGAAAAAGGCACAAATACCTAATTCTTTTATCAGTTTTCAAAGTACTTTTTGGCTCCCCAGAATCCTTCAAGTGTAATAAATAAGCTAAGGAGATTTTTTTTAAAACTTAGTATAACAAAATTCACGGGGCCAGAGAGATGGCTCAGTGGTTAAGGGCACTGCCTGCTCCTCCAGAGGACCTAGGTTTGATTCTCAGCAGCCACGTGGAGGCTCACACCATCTGTAACTCCGGTTCCAGGACATTCAATGCCCTCTGCTGGCCTCTTCCAGCACCAGGCACACACATGGTACACAAACATACATTCAGGCAAATCACCCCTACACATGAAGTAAAAACAAATAAGCCTCAAAACTATTTTTAAAAATCATTATCTAAAATGATGTCAGTGTCTTGATATGGTTGTCACTGTGTTTACTTATATTCGAGTTCTGTGACAGCACTGACCTGCGAGTTAGCTCCTGGATCCTTTTAACAAGACACGAGGCATCCTTGATAACTTCTTTGTTCTTAGATGTATTCCAAGGCTTTTTAACTTTAATTCTGTTACCCCTGGAAAGCACAAAGCGGAGAGTGGTAGCTTCCATCTCCAGCTGTAGGAACAATGTGGATTCAGCGGGGTTTCTAACTGCTGTCCTCATTTACTGAGAGAGGAGCAAGTGTCCTCAGTTAAAGGAAAGGAGAAGAGCCTGTCACTGTGCTTCATCCCAGGTAAACCAGTCAGCAAGCACACACAGGCCAGTTCAAACATTCTTGGCTGGAGAACCCGTCAGTGGAGAGTGTTCACGTGATGGCCATTTCCCACCAGGAGGACGAAATAAAACAAAAGAGATGTTGAGGTGGTAACAGGACTTCTGAATCCTCTGCAATATTCCAGCTCTTGGTTCTTGTCCCTTGTCAAGCTTGATTTAAAAAAAATACTACTCTTGAATTCCCTAAAATATCCAAGAATTGTTAACAGTACATCTTGTTCTTTGCTTAAACTAGCACGAATGAAGATCTATTTCTCGCAACCAAAAATACCCCCAATGTGATTTTTCCTGGGGTAGTGGGGTTGTGGGTGGGGAGGGGAGTCAATTCATGATCTACTGTAATAGGTCTGTCCTGGAGATCTGATGAGCATTCTGAGGATGAGGGGAACAAATTAAAATCTAGGGCTGAATCTGGACAATGATGACATTTCCCTAGCATGGTCTATATAGCTTGGGGGAGTCTCCATCTTATAGCAGAGAAAGGGAATTTCTGAGAAATTGCAAACCCACCAACTATGTTCTTTCTCTGAGCAAGCAGGCAAGTTCATTCTGCATGCCAGATTGAGATACTGTAGTTTAAAATCTTGAAGTTCCCAAGACTGGAATCCTGAGTGGAAAATTGGACCCCCCAAGGCCCATGGCTGTTGGCCTTGAGTTAAGTGTCACCCTTTGTTCTTACCATGGGAAGTTCAATTTATAGCAATTTGGAATGATTCCCTCTAGTCTCAGGGCATCATTAGGTATTTCAAGGCTGGTGGTTAGCTTGGTAAAAACCACTTCCCCATATTAGAAGATCACAGGGACTATTGAAAAGACATCACAGAGTGTATGATTTTAAGCAAGTCATAGTTTTCAGATTACCAGTATTTTCAGACAGTTAAAAAAGTGCTTGTATCTTGTATATAAACACAACCTATACAGAAAAGCTCACCTTGACCTTGGAAGATGTGTCTTTAGTGCAGCATGGAAATGTTGTGGTCTCCTTATGTAGTTCAGGGTATTCATGAACATTTTGTTTCATTTTATTTTTCTTCTAGCCCAGATGTAAACCAATTACTATGAACCTTGCTGAACAAATACGGATCACAGCTTAGGGCTAATAGCTTACTAAAACCCTGGTGGGCAGCAGACAGGTTGTTATTTATTATTTGTGTTTGCTGTTGATTGATTCTCAAGCACGACTCTCATTTTTAATCCCATAAGATGAGTGTTCTTTAGTCAGATGACATCAATGTTTGTTGAATTTTGGGGTGGTAAACTCTTAATGTAATGAACGGTGTACATGCCCAGGGATGTCAGCAGATGTATGTAGGAAAAAGTCACTGCCACACACGGACAGGCCACATCAACGCTGGCTTGCACCGAACTCTGTGAAGATATGCACATTCATCTTAACTTTTGGCAGTGCTGGGAATGGTACCCAGGGCCTGACACATGTATGTCAGGTTAGAACTTACCAACTGACCTACATCCCAAGCCTAATATTTATGTTTCACAGGTGAATACTTCTTTTAAAAGTGAATCCATCCAAATGAACTTTTCCTCCTTTTTTTTCCTTTTCTTTTTTGAGACAAGGTTTCTCTGTGTAGCACTGGTTGTCCCAGAACTTGCTCTGTAGACCAGGATGGCTTTGAACTCACAGAGATCCACCTGCCTCCTGAGTGCTGGGACTAAAGGCATGCATCACCATGCGCTTAGCATTCCTCCATTTCAGAATGTGCTTAGGTAATTAGGGCCACTTTTGAGAAAGCTCTACAGTAAAACCTGCGTAAATGCTTCTCCTTAGTGAAAAGAGTCTCCCTCTAGCTTGTGTTGGGCTGCTGGTGTTTTCTAGGCTAGCTGGACCAAGAGCTTTTGGAAGGCTGTCAGGATTGTGCCTTTCACCTCGCTGTGGGATTGCTGGGGTTGGCGATGAGCTGCCGCATCAGGCTTTGCATGCTCACTCCAGAAACTGAATTAGGATTTCAGGCTTTTAGGGTAAGTGGTTCTGCCAACTGAGCCATCACACGGGTTGACTTTGACTCAATCTGTCTTAACTGGGCTGCTCCCAGTGCTTGCAGAGTGTTGCTCTGAATCACTGCAGAGCCTTCCAGTGGCCTGCTTTTCTAACCTGTGCTAATGGACACGGCAGGGCTCATATTGCAATGTAACTTCCTTCACCTTTTAGCTCTGGGCCATAGTCTAGCAGTTTCTCACGAGCTCCGGTCATGCCAAAGCTGCTGCTTCACAGTGCACACTTATGGTACAGGATCTTAAGCCCCAGAAAACATTCTAAGGTCATTTTTATTCTGCTCTTCCCTTTTCTTCTCTTGGTGCAGGTCTCGTCATGCGATTCAGGCTGGTCTTAATCGTGTCATCATTGTGCCTCAGGTTCCTGAGTGGTGGAGTCACAGCCTATGCTCAGTATTAGTCCCCTTTTCAAAGGACTATTTTTTGGTTTTTGGTTTGTTTGTTTGTTTGACCAGGGCTCACTCTGTAGCTCAGGCTGTCCTGGAATTCATTATGTAGCCCAGGCTGGCCTTCACTTTATACTAATCCTCTTGCCTCAGCTTCTTGAGAGCTGGGATTACAGGTCTGAGCCACAAAACATCTGGCTTTCTTCTTTGATTATTATGAGAAGCATCTTAAAGGATGAAATAATAGCATTTACTTCCCAAAACTCTCTAAGTGACATATTATATGTGACGGTTAATGAAATAAATGCAATATCATTTTTCCATCTGTGCATGGCATTTCTGGCCATTTAAAAATTCTTTATTGTTCATTTGGCAAAACATAGGAGCAGTTACTTCAGCCCCATGCAAATGCAAGCAGAGACTCTGGGCTCTATGGTTTTGAATCACAATCAGTATCTTATAATTAACAGGTTGTATAGTTGAAATGCTTAATATACGTCAGTGGCAGAAAAGGCATTTTCTCAAATATGTGACAATGTTTTTAACTCAGCTTTTGATCTCACTTTGAGCTTATAAAGCCAGGTCTGTAAATGCTGGGAGAACTCCCATCTGTGTATATAATTTTGAAGAGCTTTGTATTTAATGACAGACAGGTGAGCTTTCCCCCTCACAGTACAAAGTTCAATAAAGCTGATTAGAAATTCATAGGAGTAGAAAAAAATTTTGTCTTGTGAACTCAGAAAGTTTTCTATTTCTTTAGTATTCCCACTGTTTCCTTTTCTCTAGAAAAAGAGCTTATAAGAAATCTTGATTACATTTCAAGGGGGATGGAAATTAGGTTTGTATATGTAAAACATATATTGGACAAGTGTGGTTAGTAAGATGGAAGTGGAATGAAACCTATTTTTGACTTCCATTGCTTTTTAGAATATATTCCGTAGAGGAGTTTCTGTTGGATAGAAGCTCTGACAGATGTCAGGAATATTTAGTCACTTAAGAGAGGAGAAAGTCCCACCATTAACTTAAGCCAAACACAGAGTCTTGACTTAGAAATAAAATTCCAGGGCAACATAGTTATTGTTTCAATACACACTGAAAATCAAGACTTCTTTTGCTGCCCTGGCCACAGCCTGTTCATATCTGCTGCAGAGAAGGGATTCAGCATCCTCTTCTTTCTCCTTCTCCATTTTCTTTCAGGCTCCTCGAGGGTTAGACCCTCAGAGTGGGAAAGGAGAAGGCCATAGGACCCGGGCCTGGCTCCCTGCGGGGATGCTTCTAATTGCTCTCTCTCAGGGTGTTGTTGGCAGGCTCTTCAGAGTTTCCTGTGCAGAGTCTTTGTGGGTCAAGCCTGGGAGGGGGAGCGCAACACATTTATTCCTCCTGCTGATACACACACTGCATATCCTGTTTCCTGGGGTTTCCACTCCACGAGGGATAGGGATATAGAGTCTTCTGACTCCCAAAGGTTCTCTGGGAGCACACTTACACATGACCAAGGCGATCTGTTTCCTGGTGGGTAACAGGATTAAGACAGAGCAGGGCTGCAGCTTAGGGCAGAAGAATGCCTTTCCTGATTCTGTCCTCTGTGCTTTCTACTACCCGATAGTCCTCCTTGCAGACACAGGGCCGCCTGCCCAGTTTCTTTTTTTTAGATTTATTTTATTATGTATATAATGCTCTGCGTGTAATCCTGCAGTACAGAAAGGGCCACCAGATCTTATTACAAATGGTTGTGAGCCACCATGTGGTTGCTGGGAATTGAACTCAGGACCTCTGGAAGAGCAGTCAATGCTCTTAACCATCTGAGCCATCTCTCCAGCCCGGCTGCCCAGTTTTTGTAGCTCTTTACAATTCCACCTGGAGGTGGTACCTTACTTTGGAAATTTCATATTTGTATCATCTTTGATGCTTCCATTATAAGTTCAGCTTTAATATTGATACCCTATGAATTTAAATTATGATTTGTCTCTGCAAATAGGTCATTTTCTAACCCACAGACCTGTGTCAAAATACTTATGTTTTAGTGTTCTCATTTGGACCCAGTAACGTTGGAAGGCAGCCCTTGACATTCCAGAATGCCTAGCAACATCAAGTACCACTCCTACCCAAATCCCCTAGGCATAGCAATAAAAATACCTCCAGACTCGGACAAATGTCTCCTGGGTTGGGAGTGGGGAGGACAAAAATCATTTCTGTCTGAGACCCAGCACCATCAATGCATGGTTACAGGGCTGAGAACTAACAAGCACCACACCCTTGACCTACCCCAGAATGCGGCCCTGCAGCCACCAGACCTCCTTTGCAGACCCGGGGGCCACTCCTAGAGGTCAAGTGGATTACCTAGCGCCACAAAGTCCCTGCCGCAGGACTGGAAAGGACCTATGCTTCCTGACCACACTCAACACTCATTGTAAGGATGGGGAGCATGATTATTAATTTTCAACAGCACTACTAATTTTAAAGTACCTATGCCTGGAATTTTCTGTGCCAAAATTAGAACATGGAAAAACCTTATCTAATTAGTTAGTGAATAGCACTGAATTAAAATTGGACACTATAATTAATCAATGCTAAATTGTAGTCAAACCCATTACCCTTGAGTAGATTATCTGTGTGACCCACTGTCCCCTTCTGACACCTCCAGCCAGGGGCTGCAGATACTGATTGGAGACCTTGGGGAAGGGGAGGGGCCCGGGGCTGAGGGGACCCTGAGTGGCGGTAAATCATTTTGTGCTGTCTGTGGTTTGTTTCTGTCGGTGTCACTGCTCCTCTCCACGAACAAAGCTAATTTGAGAACTGAGTGTGGCAGACTTTTACTAGAGGAGGGTGCGTGCGGAAAGCACATCCAGATCAAACAGAAATTATTCAATTGTCTAGTCTAACTCTGGTCAGCCTCAGGTCTGGGTGATCAAATTTCCTGCGGTACTTTTTTTTTTTTTTTGTAGAGAGTTCTTCAAGTTAAACACTTAATTTTAAAACATCCTTACATTTTGTTGTAAGTGTGCGTGCGCACTCCTGTGTGCATGTATGTAGTGTGTGTGCTCCCGCCACCACAGCACACACACACACACACACACACACACACACACACACACACACACACACACACACACAGGTCAGAAGACAACTTGTGGGAGTCTTGCTCTTCCCTTCATCAACCGTGTGGGTCCTTTTTTAAAAAATGCTAATTAGAAAAATGTAAATGATAAAAATATGCACTTACCAAGTCCATCCTTTGTGTGAGACCCTGTACTAATGTCTGTGTTTTAAACCCTGGTGACAGACCCTCCTCCCTGTGAAGAAGTCATTTTTCCTTTCTGATACTAGTCAGCCCGCCCAAGACCCTCCAGATGTTAATAGGTGCTTGGGCTTGCCGAGGTCTCTTGAAGGTCCATGGAGACTCTCTATGAGAGATTGCCCGTGAGAATGTCCATCACTATATGTCTCTGTCCCATGGGTGGGAACAGGAGCCTTGCTGGGACTTGTTGGCTGCCAGACTAGCTCCGGATTCATTGAAAAACCCTGTCTCAAGGGGAGAAGGATAACGCAGGACTCTTGGCCTCTTTTGTGAGTGTGCACAGTATGTGCGTACAATGTACACAGAGATACCACACACTTATGCTCATGCATGTATGCACATAGACATATTCACACACCAAAATTGAAAAAATAATATATAATAATGTTCTATAACTAGTTTTTCTCAGTTAGTTTTTTTTTTTTTTTTATCAATTTGGCCCAAGCTGAAGTCATCTGAGAAGACAGAATGTCAGTTGAGGAATTGCCTCCATTACATCGGTCCATATGCAAGTCTGAATGGCATTTTTTGATTAATGATTAATGTGAGAGGCCCCACTCCCTGGGGCCTTGGACAGGTAGACTGGGTAGAATAAGAAAGTGGCTGGGAAAGCCCTCCTCGTGGCCTCTGCTTTAGTTCCTGCCCTCAGGGTCCCGCCCTGGCTTCCTTCCATGAGGGACCACAACTCCCAGCTTCAGTAAGTCCTTTCCTCCAGTAATTGCTTTTGGTCTTGGTGTTTATCACAGTCATCAAACGCAAACTAGGACGCGCACCCTACTTGTTTTTTTCTTACTGAATTAAATAATTATCTGTTGGGAGACATCATTCTATAAATATGTGTCTGATTGGTTTGAATAAAGCACTGTTGGCCAATAGGGAAACAAGAAAGGTGGGACTAGGAGTCTAGGAGGATTCTGGGAATTGTAGTGAGGAGCGCTCTCACCATGTGATCTCCCAGGAGGAATGGACACCTCGTAAAGATAAGTCCTTATAAAAGATATATTAGTAATTATGGGTTAATAATCAAGTCAGAGCTAGCCGATAAGAAACCGAGCAAATGACCAACAGCTTCATAATTAAAATAGTGCCGTGTGTTATTTGGGGGCTGAAAGCAGCAACAGGAAGTTGGCGTCAGGCAGGAAGACTACACATTACAATTATCCTTTTTTTTCCCCACTTGTTTAATTCTAAGGACATATCATGACAGTTTCTCTGACTCTGCTAGCAGAGATGTCAATAAATAGCCTGTCCAGTTCCCAAACGCTCATTTCTGTTTCTTTGCACAGACTCCTGCCACCTTAGCCTCTGTCTTCCATCCAGGCTGGACTAGGGGCTATTTGGTGTGAGGACTCTTCTCTGTCACCACCTTTGGCTGCATGTCACCTTCGTCTATTGAACGTCTTCAGCAAACAAGCACTAAGAAGGGTTACATGAGAAACAGCTGTTTTCAGCCTCATATTTGACTGAATAGTGCGTGAAGTGTGGAATCCTAAATGGTGAATGACTTTTCTGGTGAACTTTGACTATATTTGTCTTTGTCTCCTAGTATCTAGTAGAAATTTTATATTTTGTTCAGTATCGCTTGTTGTGTGTATTTCTTTCCCTTTCTAAAATCTCTGCCACAAGGGAAGCAAGCAGCTTTCCTCCATCATGCTGAAGGCCCTTAGCTCTGAGGCCAAGAGATGGAAACCTTTGAAGTCACGAACTAAAAGAAATCCTTAAATGACTGTCTCTCAGATTTTGTCACAGTGACGACTAGTCTTAGACAAGGTGGTGACTTATATTCCTTGATTTGCTGATGTTCTAAGACTTAAGATTATTATGCCAGTTAACATCTTTTCAAAAGCATGTTAAAAAATGTCCTGAAAAGTGGCATGAAGTTTCCAGAATTTCTGAGATATATACATTATTCTGCGGCTGGAGAGACAGTTCAGCAGTTAAGATCACTTGCTGCTCTTCCAGAGAACCTGAGTTCAGGCCCCAGCGGTGGCTCATAAACATTGATAACTCCAACTCCCTCTCCTGGCCTCTACAGGCACCTGCACTCATATACACATTACTCCCCCACTCCACACACATAAACAGAGAGAGAGACAGAGAGAGAGAGAGAGATGAAATATTCCTTTGGGAGAGGGAAGGAAGGGTGCTCATGGAAAAATTATTAAAAATAATACAAACTTTTAAATGTATTAAAAAATCCTCAAGGATTTTTTGTTCCTTTAGAGCAGCGGTTCCCAACCAACAGCTGTTTTGCCAGGAAGGAATTATCTGTCAGTGACTGGAGATGTCTGTGGTTGTAGCAACTGCACAGGGAGGATGACTCTGGCTGGCATCTGGTGGGTAGAGATCAGGAGTCACATTTAGATACGTAATGTTCCCCAAAAAGCTCACGTGTTAAAAGCTTGGTTGCCAGTCAACGGGCATCTAGATCTCAAGGCCCGTGACTTTACTGGCGGGTCACTCTGCTGATAGAGACATCATGGTGGCATGGTTGGGAGTCTGGGCCGGTGGGAGGAAGTAGGTCACAGGGAGCGTGCCTCTGAAGGATACGCCTTTGCCAGCCGCTCCCTTTTTTTGTTCTGCTTTCGGGCCGCCGTGCAGTGAGCAACTTTGCTCCTCTCACACTCAGTCCTGCTGCTCTGCCTCATCACAGGCTAACAGCAGTAGGTCACATGATCATTGATGGGGACCACAGATGCTGTGAGCCCACATAGAGCTTCCTCCACTGATTCGTATTCTTGGGGTTTTGTTGCAGCAATGAAAAGCTGTCCAACTGGGAATTGCTAAAAGGCCTCTTGATATATGCTGGGCACAGTGGCACACTCCTAGAACCAGCACACAGGCAGCTGAGGTGGGGATTGCTTGGAGTTCGAGGCCAACCTGTTTCACACTGCAAGTTTCTATCTCAAAATAAAAATATCCTGTGATGCATAGGATATCTTTCTGCAACAAACAAATATTGGATCGAAAATGTCAACAGAGCAGTGACTGAGAAACCCTGTTTTAACATTTTCAAATTCTTTTGCTAGTATAAATGCCCCCAGTCATGAGGTTGGGTTCTTTTTGCATTTAACTATCCATTCTACATATACGTAGATTGCCTAGAAGTTCATACCTGCTCTCCCAGAACTTGAAATCATTGTGCTTGCTTCTTATTTTCATTCACATAGAGATTCTACAAAACGTGTTTTCCTGTGCAGACTTAGAATTGCACAAAGTTCTTAGCATTAAAGCGTGGCCTCTGCAAGCTTTGCTATATTTGAGTCTTGATTCTCATCCCCTTAGTCCTAGTCAGTGTCTCTGTGAGGCAGGATGACAACCGAGTTTAACCAAAGGACAGGAACCTCAAAGCTATCAGTACATGAGATCCTAGGCCTGTGGATGGCCAGGGTCTCTGGGTTTCTGTTCCAGAAGCAGGTCAAATCCTAGGTGTAAATACAGGTTCCCAAGCTCCATACAGACAAGAGGAGCCCACGTCTTTAGGATGCAATGGAAACTGTACTCTTGCTTTCTTGCTTGCTTTTAGTATTGGAGATGTTCTGGGCCAAACAAGCTGAGCACGGACTCAGTCCCTGGGCCTCAGCCCCACCCCCAAAGTAAGAACACTTTTCAAGACCTCTAGGTAGGAGTTCAATCACCAACACCTGAGACTCTCCAGTCCATAATCTGTGTAGTTGTAAAAATGAGGGGTTCTCTTATGTTAGGAATAAAATGAAATAGCCCCGAGTTTAGATCAAGTTTACTTATAGATCAATTCCTTATTAGTTGTATGACGGTGACTTAGTGGTCCAATGTCTTTGAGCCCTGATTTCCCTATTTTAAAGCAGTGATAACAACATACATTACCATAGGATGTATGTTTGGGACCCAGGTGAAGTGCTTACACAGTCTGGCACATGGGCACTACCCAATATTACAGCTACAAAGAGACTCAACTCTTGTGATCTCAAGGAGAAAATTTTTAATCTAACTTTTCTGATTTCTCCAGCAAAAGAGAGTGGCTTCGGGTCCATGCCCTGCTATCTTCTGTCCTCCTTCCTGAGAATGGCAAGTTCAGATTGCTGGTTACATTCCTGGAGCTCCTTGCCCCAGACTTTACACACGTGCTCATGTATCATACACATATGTGGTGCACGCACACACACACACACACACACACACACACACACACTTCACTTCTCACACTCTCACGTTCAAATCCGTATCCTCATATTTGTCTGCAACTCCCAAGCAAGTTTTTCCCATAGTGCCTGGCATGGTAGGACTCTCTTTGTTCTGGACAAGCTATGCATTCACACTATCGGCCCAGATTTACTGAATTCAAGCATTTAACCTAGCATTTAGTCCCTTCTGAATGGTACAGTTTTAACAGTGGCAAGTGGGGAGAGCTGGCGGCTGGAGGGTGGGAGCGGACGGTAGAGATGACATTGTCAGTGTCTTTATTCTGGGTTGACCAGAGCCAGAACACCCCCTCTTTCCTCACTGTGGCCTGTGGTGCCAGGTTTGGGGGTGAGGTGGGGATGAAGCACCCTCAAGTCTGAAGAAGCATGGAGTGTAATCAGAGCCAGGCACGGAGAGCTCTCCACGGGCTCTTCCAATCACAATGTTGTGATTAGTCACACTTCCTGCTTGGAAAACAGGCAGATATTAGAAAGGGAAATCCTATCATGAGGTTTAGATGGGATTTCAAATAGGTTTTTTTTTTCTGCATATAAGATTAAAAGCAGAAGTGGAAGGCAAACCAGCCGGAGCTCCCTGTAGACTGGGTCTTGTTGAGTCTTGGAGGAGAGGATGCTGAGAGGCCCTAGGGCCCTGACTCCCTTCTTCAGTGATCTTGACTAGCACTCTCCAATGGTTACCACTGAATTGTGGGTAAAGACTTGAAAGGGCTTCAGAGGAAGGGGGCTTCGTTCAAGCTTGCCACTGTCAGTCAGCGTCAGCTCTGTTTCTGTAGAGAGAGCTGGGGAAATTAGTTGGGTAACCACCTTTGTCACACTGGTTTCTTCCTGTGTAAATTGGGATGATCACAGGACTTACTTTGCAGGATCATTGTAATGTGGGAGCATATGCCTAGAGGGGACCCAAACCAAGGCCCAACCCATTGCTAGCCTTCAGGAAGCCTGCACTCCAATTCTCCCGAGGACTCCATCAATACTATAGGTCAAATGTTTGTGGTCTGGCTTGCAGAAGTTCATGGCTTTCTATTACATTTTGAGGTTTAAAAGAATGACTTCTTTATAGACTCAAAATTTCCTGGAAATACAAATGTACCTTTTGAAACTCAGTCCTGACAGGTAGCCGAGGTGTCCCGCTGTGATGGTGGTGATGACCCGCCTGTTGAAAGAAAAACACGCTTGCGTTTAATGCTTAGCCCACAAAGAGCTGTCTTCCCTTGAACCTTAAACTTTACAGAGGAACAATAAAACACACCGGAGCAAAAGTCCCTCAGCTTTCCTGCCACCAACGGATGGGGTCAAAGGTCTGCTAGTTTATCTTTGGAAGACGTGGACTTTTGGACAACCTTTGTGAGGAGACTCATCCGTACATTTTTGCCTGAGGGCTTTGGGGAAACGGAATCCAACCATGGTAAGCCAAGAACGTGCAAGCAGTTCTGGTGTTTTCTCCATCCAGAAGTAAAGTAACGGCTGCTGGTTGAAAAGTTTGTGTGCTCGTCTTATATCTACATCTATATTGCCATTAAAGAAGCAAATGATAACCATAAGAAGACAATGGAATGGTCAGATTGCAACAAAGTTATTTGCTCTGATTAAAAGCACCAATAAAATGTGTCGTGGCTCTGTAACTGCTTCATTTAGCACTTGACACATAATGGATTTTTTTCACAGCATAATATCTCCATTGAAATATAATTATTTTACAGATCGCTCAACTGAATACTCTCACACACATGCTGTTAGGGGGACTCACCCCTGGCGATCATCAGGCTATCATGACAATGTGCACAGTTGATGGACACGTGAGGGATGTGGCAGCCATGCTTGGAGAGGAGAAAGGGGTTTGTTGCACAGCAATTACCCTAATGCATTTTTAAAAGCATAAAATAAAGAATCATTTCATTCGCTGAAAATATATTTTAGGTGCTTCAGTAAAGCAGTAACAGAATATTTTGATTGTCAGTTTTCCCCCCTTTAAAGTTAGATAATTACATTTACCAGTTAAAGAATTGGCATTTAAAAATAATATTTTGTCTAAATGTTTAAAGATGTCTATTAAAAATGTATACTGAACATGACAGCGGTCTTTTTATGTTGTAATTCTAGTCAGTGGTCTGAAAAGAATTAGGATGGAAAAATGTACATTTATTCTGTGCCTGCTGGGGACTCAGGAGTCTGTGGTATACACTGTGGTTTTCGAGATAGCTTTATTTTTGCTGATTTAGTGGCTCAGAGGAAGGGTCTGTGGTTACCCGTGTGCTGTGTTTAGTTTCTCTAACAATCTTTCTAGTGGAAAAACCCACCACACTGGCCCGGGGGCCTGGGCATTCTATCTCATCCAAGACTAGAGAGAAGAGAAGGGAAGTAACAGGACAGTTCCATGTCCCCATCGGCTAGGACCCTTCTTGGTCTGGTGTATACACACCAGGGTGGCTGTGCAGAGTGCTGGGATTCTGAAATATTTGCTCACCTGCCGGCAAGTCCTTCCGTTGACACCGGGTAGGGCCCCAAGTCTCTCCCTGACGTCCTCCAGGTGGCTGGCAGGACCCTACAGTCCAAGGTTGTTGTATGTCTGTCACACTAAGGCCCCAGACTGCCGGCCGGGTTGGCTTCCACTCCAGCGGCTGGCTGGCTGGGTCATCAACTTCTCACTCTCTTACCAGTTGAGAGTGATCTAAATTTAGCACATGAACAACTGGGATATTGAAAATCACTGCAGAAGTTGGCATGTGTGACCCAGCAGTCCCTGGTCCTCTGGCGCTAAGCAATGACAGCACACGCCAGACCCATATGGCCAAGGGTGACCTTCTAGAGAAGGGAGAAGTGAACCTGCAAGCCATAAAGCCATGAGTGGCTGGGACAACGCAATAACATTCATCTATCTCTTAATTCTTCAACAAGCAGGGAAATGCTCCAGCTCTACTTCCCAGGGGGAAACGATGCCTGAGAAACTAGCCTGGCAGCTAGTGTGTGGAGAAGCTTGGTTCTGCTGAGAGACTGAGAGACTGACTGCCTCTTCTCCGAAGGGGCATTAGCAGGCCACAGCTTCTTTCCTTGGTCTCCAGTGGTTCTCAGACTTCCTCATGCTGTGACCCTTTAACACATTTCTTCATGTCGTGGGGACGCCCAGCCATAAAATTATTCTGTTGCTACTTCATAACTGTAATTTTATTACTGTTATGAATCATAATGTAAATATAGGTATTTTCTGATGGTCTTAGGTGACCCCCTGGAGCAGTCTTTCGGCCCTCAAAAGGGCCATGACCCGCAGGTTGAGAACTGTTTAGACTCTAACTGCTTCTTCAAACCTCTTACTGTCTGGGAATGTAGCTCAGTGGTACAGCATTCACCTAGTAGGAACAGAAGCCTTAGGCTTGATCCCTGTACCCTCAAGCAATAGAACCAAAAAAAAAAAAAAAACTATCAGGTCTTCCCACCTCCCTATCTGTCACCTCTCATTGACCTGCCACAGTCCTGACTGGGGCATCTATCCACCTCTAAGTCTGTTCATGGCATTCCAGTCCAAGAGCTTCAGTGTCTCTTGAGTAATTGTCCTCGAGTGGAAACGTAACCCCAGTTTTCTAAATCTACATATATTCACATACATATAATTACTTACATATATACATATACTTGTGTATATGATATCAATAAGCCAGGTATATTGACACATACCTATAGCCCAGCACTGGAGTGACTGAGGCAGGAGGATTGTCAGTTTGGGGTCAGAGTGGGCCTCATGGGAAGACTATTTTCAAAAAAAGAGAAGACAAAAGCTATAGTTGCTAAAAATGGAGATTTTAACATTTTCTGACTCTCTGTGGGATCTGCAATGCAGCACGTGACATGCCCCAGGGATCGCCCCAAAACTGGCGGGAAGGCACACGTTGCCTGAGACCCAGCTCTGACAGCCCCAGGTGGGGCTATGGCTTCTGGCTATCACATAAGCTAATAGTTACGCTCACAAGTGCTTCTCCTGATCTTTTGAGAATTGACTTGTATAAATAATCCTTTTTTTTTTTTGAAGCAACTCAAACTTTGTGAGTAAACGCTGCCATGACTAAGCGAAGTGGCAAATGTTTTTCTGGCACTCTCTAACTTCCCTAAAGACAAACTTAGAATGTATAACAACCTTAATAAAGAATTAATTGAGTACATCGTTGTGACTAGGGAAATTTATTTCAAATTAGAATTTTTAAGGAAAGTAATTTTTATTTGTACTCATGACAAAGTAATTAGTGATAGTTGTTTTGTGTAAAAGATGGGTTTGGGGAGCTTTGGGAAAAAAAGGTATCATTTATTACAGTGGTGCTTGTGAGAGGGACTCTTTGTCCTGGACAATAGTCTTTTAGCCTTGTTAGTGTCTTATTCTATATAAATGCGCCTAATTGTTACAGTTGCTAAACAGAACCCATCCCTCGAGTATGCTCATTTAGCTGTGAGGAGGCATAATAGGAGCTGCATCTGAAATTTCCAGCAATTTCCCATTTTCTTTCTGCAGACATTCCCCCTTGTTGCCAGCGGCCCTGAGGAAGCGCTGCTGTTCCTCCCATTGTCAGGGGCAGCTGTCTCTCTGTGTTGATGCTCTGTGCCCACAAACCAGGCAGATGGTGACTGGTAGCTGAGGCATGTCTTCTGCACACAGGACCTACTTTGTTGGCTTTGGGGAGCACAGCTGCCACGCTGTTCGGAAAGTGACGGGAGTGACGGGAGGCACTGCCTGCATTTCAGATGCAGGAGCCCTTGTAAAAAACCATGTGTTTGGAAAGGGTGCTTGGGGTCTCTGGAGCATTGAATAGGCACTTGCATATTCAAACCGCCAGAGCTGTGTGAAAATATAGATTGCTATTAATTAGAATTTTGGAAAGGAATTAGGCAGGAGGTGTGTTGCAAGGACTAGGGCAACGGTTCTGCCAGAGCAGCATGCTAACGCCTTCTTGACTCCAGGGGCTAGCACAGTACCCTGCAGTCTGTCTCAGACCAGCTAAGGCCATCTCTCTTCCACCTTCACCTGCATGGAGAATCTCTGCTAACCAAATGTACTCTGCAGAGGCTTGGGTAACGCAATCAGTTTCCAGGACAGGGCCTTATTGTGCTTTGGGTAGGGATCCTGATACCCAACGGTTGGAACTGATTTGAGGTATGGAAGTCAATGGTTTCTAACATATTCACAGATGTGACCAATCATTATCACAGTTGGTTTTAGGACATTTTTATTACCTCCTGCTCTTTCATTTTTTTCTTAGCTCTAAGTAACCATCAATGTACTCTGTGTCTGTATAGACCCAGAGACTGTGCTTTAGGAACAGTTTTGGGGGTGTGATAGAGGGTTGTGTGTGGATATGTAGGTAGAGGGTCTCTGTGGGGGGGTATGTAGGTAGAGGGTCTGTGTGTGTGTGTGTGTGTGTGTGTGTGTGTGTGCGTGAGCGCAGAAGTAAGGTCTGTGTGGGTGTGTAGGTAGAGAATCTGTGTGGGTGTATAGGTAGGGTCTGTGAGTGTGTATGTGTGTGTAGGTAGTGTCTGTGAGTGTGGGTGTGTAGGTAGAGAGTCTGTGTGGGTGTGTAGGTAGTGTCTGTGAGTGTGTGTGTGTAGGTAGGGTCTGTGAGTATGTGTGTGTAGGTAGTGTCTGTGAGTGTGTGTGTGTGTAGGTAGGGTCTGTGAGTGTGAGTGTGGGTGTGTAGGTAGGGTCTGTGAGTGTGGGTGTGTAGGTAGAGTCTGTGAGTGTGTGTGTGTAGGTAGGGTCTGTGAGTGTGTGTGTGTGTGTAGGTAGGGTCTGTGAGTGTGGGTGTGTAGGTAGGGTCTGTGAGTGTAGGTGTGTAGGTAGGGTCTGTGAGTGTGGGTGTGTAGGTAGGGTCTGTGAGTGTGGGTGTGTAGGTAGGGTCTGTGAGTGTGGGTGTGTAGGTAGGGTCTGTGAGTGTGGGTGTGTAGGTAGGGTCTGTGAGTGTGGGTGTGTAGGTAGGGTCTGTGAGTATGGGTGTGTAGGTAGGGTCTGTTGGGGCATATAGGTAGGATAGAAGTGAAGGGGAACAGATGGATAGTCTTATAGAACAGATGGGGCTGCAGTCCCCGTATGGAAAGAATTGAGCTCAGGAATCATTTTAAACACTACTAGTGTTGCCAAGCCAGCATAGCACCTTATCAGCCCATCAGTAATTCTCTGCCAATCTTAGTAGCTCCCTGATAAGCCTGCAGTTGACATACATTTGGAAATGTTAGTGTATGCCATGCCATGAGGCAGTCTGTTTGTGGGGTTCATTCATATTGTGCCTTTATGTAAGAGTCCACTTATTTTTCAGGATGGCAGCTCACTAAGTTGCCTAGTGTGTTAGAAAGTTCAAATAGTGATCACTGGTCTTCAGACAGGCCAAAGTAAGATTTGATATGTCTGAGGGCTTTCCTGACAGTCTGCCTATCTTTTGAGAATTTTAATGGCTTGTTTTTATGCCTTTTTTTCTTTTTGAGACATGCTTTTCTAAATATTCCTGGCTGTTCTGGACTCCCTGTAGACCAGGCTGACCTTGAACTCACAGAGATCCACTTACATCTGCAGCCCGAGTACTGGGATTAAAGGTGTGTGCGCTATCATGCCTGGAGGGAGATCTTTAATTCATTAAGTTTGATGGTCTGAGCTAATAATTTCACTTCCTCTTCATTCACTGCCCAACAGAAGCAGATTTTTATAAATTACTTATAGACACAAATAACTTGGAAGTGGAAAGGATTTTAGGGACAATTTCATGAGAGCTGTTTATTTGTGGACGTAGGTGAGAAAAGACAGGGTGGGCAAGTTCATAGCTTTCTTTCTCTTGTCCCTTTTCATGTGGGTACTTCTCTAGTATGAGAGTCCCAGCGGTTATCAACTCATGGATCACAAGCCCGTGGGGGGAGGTCACATATCAGATATCCTGCATATCAGATATTACACTACAATTTACAACGGTAGCAAAATTCAGTTATGAAGTAGCAACGAAATAATTGTATGGTTGGGGGTCACCACAACATGAGGAACTGTATTAAAGAGTCACAGTGCTAGGAAGGTTGAGAACCACCGTGAACAATCTCTCTGAAGCCCTCTATCTCCAAGGGCCGTCAAGCTGAGCATCAGGGCTTCCAAGAATGATTGTGTTTTAAGGGAGAGCACTGTTCAGCTCACAGTAGAACTCAGTCAAACTTCCCTTCTTGTTAACCTGCATAAAAACCACCTGGCTTAGGGACTCCCTTATATTGCTTCAGCGGCTTTTGGATTTGACAGGTCATGAAAAACGTGCAATAGTTTTGCTGTCTGCTTTGGATTCCCATTGTGAGTTTCAGCTGGTGGATACGGTGGAAGGGTCTCAGAAGTTACGGGGCAGAGGAGGCAAAAACGGTGATGCGGCCATGACGTAGAGAAAGCTCAGTGATGGGGACTCTGATGGGGAGCTTCTCCCGGTTCTCTTCCCAAAGCTGTACAGAGACGGTGGAGGCAGAGTTTGGCTGAGGATGAGGAGGAGCTGTCTGGGAATGTCATTGTCCTCGAAATACCCATCTTGCAGCCAAGTGTGAACCCCTGGCGGAGCCTCCTCCTCCGGAGCCGTTTCCACCGCAGGAGGAAGTGGTGTCCTCAGCGTGGG